TGTTCCAGATATTTTTCAACTGTAGAAATGCAGCCCTTGCTTTGCCAATCCGTGCCCTCACATCTGCATCGGATCCACCTTGGTTGTCGATGATGCTACCAAGATATGTAAAGGTGTTAACGTCCTCCAAGGCAGCATCTCCATCAAGAGTGATTTGGTTGGTGCATGTTGCAATAATGAAATGCATGCCGATTATTTTGACATATATATTCCGTTATTCAAAACATTTATCTCCCTGAAATGAATACCGTTCACACGTTCATTGAATGAAAAGCATTACTTTTCAACTACTAGTCTACTAGTGATTTGATTATAACAAACATATTTTTTTTATCACTTAAATAACCAACATACAGAAAACGTTTCATTTAAGAATAAAGTTATTACTTTAGCCGTTGAATCAACATATACTCATAACAACTTTTCATAGCGAAATCACAACCAAGATGTTTACCATATCCCATTGGATTAGCTTTGGAGTAATCCACTACGTACCACCTAAATTTATAAAGAAATTAAAATAATGTATTGTTAACAGTAACACAACCAAAGGGCGAAAATGTTCGTGAAATGAAAGCATGTAGTTAATGAGCTATCTTGATTTAAAACAAAAGGACCAGAATGGTAAACCTAGATTTTTATTTCTTAACACTGAATGTTAGTTTTATGCCCTGGGAAGTCATGAATAGGTAAGGAAATGTTATTGTGCCAAATGAACCAAATACTCTTTTACAAACCGTTGCAGCCTTTGAGAACATCAACAGTGAAAATACGTAGTTAACACTTGAAATCAATATTTCATCTTGCGTGAAATATCCAGGACAGTTATATTCTGATATTTGTTTCTTAATACCTTGTTATTGAAAAGGAATTTTCATTTTTCTCCTTCATATGACAAGTTAGCATTTCGGAGATAAATAAAATCCCTGAATGTTAATCTTTATGTATTGGGGGGGGGGGGGGGAGTTTGGCATATAATCGTAGTGTGGCGTATACTACTCGCAACGTGGCTTATAAGTAGAATGCAGCAGATTGTCAACTAGAAGTGATTGCTGAAGTGGAGTGTCGGATCCATGCGTATGGCGAGATGAAAGTGTTTTGAAGACAGTTGAGAATATGTTTGCTTCGCAAACAGAATTCTGAAGATAGGATGTACAAGTTTAACTAGTGAACTCCTCCTTTAAATAAATAACTATTCTACATAGTCTTAATGGCTTCGTAAATTACAGTAGTAATGTAGGGTACAGCAAATAATGTAAATTAGGGGTAATCGTAATACTTATGCGTAAAAGTTTAATTTATTTAGGTAGCTGTAAATAAACAGTCGCCTAAAATCAAACAAGCCCATTATGTAATCATTTGAGTCTAATGTAAAGTAATATGTATTCACTCAGATTTATTGATAACATCAGTTCTAGATTAGTTCGCATAATTTGTGGACCGTCCATGAAGGTTTTTGTCAAGTTATGGTTACTACACCAAAGTAAGCAAATTAACAATAATCAATTTTATAAATTAAAAACAGTCATGTTTTGTGTTATATTTGTTGTTATTGACTGTAAAGTGAGGTATTGATGGCACAGAGATCTTAAAATTCCAGAATCTAAATTTAAGTCACCTAAATCAATAGTTTTGACTAGTTGTATCAAGATAAAAACGTGGAACAAGAATTTCACCAGCTTGATGAAAATCCCTTTACTTTTAGTTATAAAGTTAGATATTAACTCCGTTGTGAGCCGGCTCAGAGGTCTAACGGTTCGATTCCTGCGAGAGGGGTTTATAGATGCGCACCAGGACGAAACGGCCGTCCACTGCTTCCAGATTTCCAACACAGATCGATTCATGATTTCAATGAAACTCAACAAGGCATTTGAAAAGCAAAACTTTAGTATATCTTATTTAATTGAAAGACAAAATACTCAGACATACCCAGTATCTTCGAAAAATCCAAGTGTAATACTCGATATATAAGAACGTGATGAAAGGAGGGGAGTCATTAACTCATTCTGTATATATAAAAAATATATTATTATCGATTTAATATTATTTTGTATTACGTAAATTTACAGATACATGGTTTATCTACCAGAAGTAAGGTACTTCAGAAATTCCATCAAGAAATTTAGAAAATGTTGAAAACTATTTATCGATACATCGGATTCAAAAACAGTTCTATTCAAGTAGATCACGCTTTGCTAATTACACATATTTAATCTTACCTTCAAGTATTTTTTAATATAGAGTAGTAGAAGTTTGAGTTCATTTTTTAGTCTATTTTAAGTCAATTAAATGATAAAATAAGATACTATCTTCTTATGCATTGACAGTCAGGGTGAATTTTTGTATGCATAAATCAGACATATCGAATAAAATAGGAACAACAATCAGGGTAACTGTTCAAAACTGTTTCCAATAATTATAGACTCATAAAGCTTTATTGTTAGTAAGGACATGAATTACTATGAATCAAAGTTAACATCTGTTGGAGATGTTAGATCCCCGGAATTCGCTTGATAAATATCTTTATTTTGGATTTATTTCATGGACCGATCAGTTGACCTTGAGATCACATTTCCCATCGAGAAAATCCCTGGCTGTGATTGGTTACTGTGTCATTTTAGCGCGCTATTTTTGTGACTGTCCCAAGGACGTCTCTATTGAGTATAAATAAACGCAATTTGAGTGCTTGGATACATTTTGTGCTGGCTGGGTGTTTGTAGAATACAATCTCTACACTATATCAAGACTTCTTGCTGATTCAATTTAATCAAGGGATCACAATAGCCTGTCTGGATGCTGGTTCATTGTTTTGTTCTCGTTATTCGACTAAGGGGAACTCGTGATAGTTTACGCATACCTAGAGACGAGCGTATTAACATCACTGACCGATCTTAATCAAACAACCAGTATAGTGAAAAAGCACTGAACAGTTATCATGTTCGAGTATGGGACTTCTCAGCAATGCGTACCCGTAACCTTGTCGGGGACTGAGCTTCGAACACTAAGATCTTGTTGTGAGAGTTTAACCATTAAACCGACATTCAGTAGTTCACATCGTCTAACTCTAATCAGTTCACTGTTAATCATTTTTCAGTATCATGAGTACGAAACTGCTTCAAACTCTATTTGATTGAACTTCACTGATCATAACATCATATCATAACTTAAGAAATCACCTCATCAGATTAGTCACTAGTGTGCACATGGTTAACATGTTATTTTATTATTACCAACTGAAAAATTATTGGAAATATTTCCACAAAATAACAATCAATAAAAAGAAGCTACATACAAAATTTCTCTGTACACTCACATCAATTAACCTTTTTTCTAAATGACCTCTGACATATACTTGATCGTTGTTATCAAGTTCAACACCGTCAAGTCTTGGACAATTAAAGTATTCTTTCGCCTTTTGCTAGGTTAAAATAGATTTTTTAAAAATATTTTACTGTCATTAAGTTTTTAGCACTCTTTAATACTGAATAACTAATACACTTATATATATATATATATATATATATATATATATATATATATATATTGCAAACCATGTTGTGATCTTACTATCAACATCAGACTGGTGGATCAGTAAACACTTAAAAGTGGAATCCTTTCAAATGGAAAATAGCTTTTTCAGAATAACAAAAAAGACATTTATATACGTTATAAAGCTAGAAAAATAATTCATTTATTTTATATTTTCACCTGTTTATATCAGATCTTGAAGAATCCTCAGTTAAAGTTGGATAAAAAGTACCATTTTGATCGTCCTTAAAGAATAGTTATCTTCAGAGTGTAGAAATATATGATTACATCTCAGAAATATTCAAATCTTTCTAGCATCTTAGTTAAATATGGCGCATGACAAGATTTCCATTTGGAATATTTTCACATTATAAAGATTACAATTTTGTGTGATGTCAAAAATTACATCGTTGGAAGGTATTTACGTATAGATGAGAAGTAATTATTTAAACACAACGCATTCAAAAATCTACTGTATTTTTTACTTGTCCGAAGTGAATCTGAACTTAAATAGTACATACAAGAATCTATTCTTAAAACAACATATCCCAATATTTTAATTTTAATTTTGAAATGTCATCAAAATAAATAGAATATAATTTCCTATTTTCAATGCGTTCAATGCTAAGTACAAGAATACTGTAAAGTTTGTTACTAATCACGAAGTAGTTCCCAAAACCTGTCACTTCGGGTAAGGGTCTGCAATCAGGTTGAACTAAGCTTTATATGCAATTCGATACAAGCTGTTATAATCTAAAGACATTGAGAACATGAGAACTGATCAATAATGTTTTTAATAACTTTACCTAACATCTGATAACTAAGTCTCATCCACCTAGTTATTCCAATTGAAAACAGTTTTTGAGAACTAATGAACAGTATTTATCAAATGGAATGAAGTCTAAATTAAGTCATTATGTGAGTATCTTGACCTATGTTGGGTCAGAGAAGGGAAATCTTGATTTATCGTTTTACTTAGGCAGACTGGTAACTCTGTAATTTTCATTTCATACAAATTCAATTGTTTTCTAACTCTTCCTTTCTTGATCTTTCCCCATCTCCCGCTGCCAGACATTACGTTGACGCTCACGTCATATACTACTTATAAGTAGCTCACACCACAGGTGGTCTGACAGGTAAATGAAGCGACATATGTGTTCCCTTCCCTTTGTATCTGCGCAAATCGTCAATTGATATACACACTTTATGGTTAGGCTAATCCCGTGTTCTTGATCTGAGTTGTGTTGCAGACTGATAGAACAGTGCTGACTGGGTACAAAGGCTAAAGAGAAACAGAGCCATAGACCATTAGTTCAAATCCGATCGTGATCTATTAGTTTGTCCAACATTATCCACTGTAGGCTATTTTTAATCACTCGATATAAAATTAACATTACTCAATTTCTCTAATATAAAAGACTTTTGTGAATGCAATTTAAAAAATAAACTCACCAGCATCATTGGTGTTTTAAGCGCGGTCAAATAACGATAAACTGTAGTTTTAGCAGATCTCCAAACACGAGTAACATTGTCTAAAACTGATTTACTAAATAATCAAAAACAGCAGTTTGAAAATTTATATTTTAAATCATTGTGACCATTTACAAAGTTAAAAGTTTCTCTTAGCTAAGAAATTAACTGTAATTTAAAGCGATAATTGTACAGTAAAACATCATTCACATCTGCATTGGCTATGATAGTTTTATTAAGGCGAAATGAAGTCTTATAGAAATTCTCTTATTAGTTTAATAATATTAAGGTACACATCCCTTCCGATCTAGACATTCTGATAAATTTATCAACATTTCAAAGTAATAACAGGGTTTTAAAAACTATTGGTTTACATAAAACAATTATGTCTTACTCTGGAATTCTGTATCCTAATGCATCCGTTAAAATAGGCTCATTTGTATTAGGTTCACGAACTGTCCTTGGTTTACCATTTTCATCTCGCATATATCTGAAAGCTTCCGAGTTGAAACCCTTTATTTTGAAATATAAGTGGGAAACTGAATGAATTATTGACATAAAAAAAGTATATAACCTTTAAGGTCAACTCCTAAACTGAAAACCCATCATCGACTGTTACATTAGTTAGATTAATGAAAAGTAATTTAGTACGTCTTTTTAAATACATTAGCTTATCAATACCGATATTCCTAAAACATTGTTGTATTCTAAAAGCTTCGTAATAAATCTCTTAAACTTATTTGATTAAAAATACCTCTTCACAATGCATGATGATAACGTTTTATTGTTATAATCAGAAATTTACAATCTGATTCATTGATTTCTACGCTTGAATAATAAAAAGGTGTAAATACTTTATTCGAAAAATCTACTCCAAAAGTTAGTAATCTATTCACTGTGCTTGACTGTTAGCATAGGTTATAATGTAAAATAATAATTTGATATAGCTTAAATATGTTTATTAGTCTAGACAAATGTATTCATTTTATTTTATTTTGAAAAATATATCAATGCAAATTACCAAAACATGACCCAATTCATGTGCAATAGTTAAAACAGCCAATCGAATCTTTTCATAGCCAAGTTCTATGTTATCCGGACAAAAATTTGCATAGCCAGCAATTGGCCTGAAAAATTGAAACAAATGAAATGACAAACAAATTAAACTAATAACTAATTATCCATTGTCGAGAGGTTGACAAAGCAGATAGAAAACGAGTGATGTTGCAAACAGTGTAAACCACCTTAGACACTTTGAAATAAATATGTCTAAAAAATGACCATTACTTTCAGTAACCGTTTTAAACCTGGAAGTTTAGTGGCTAATTCAAGGTGAGTTCAAGAAGTTTCAAGTTTGAATAAACTAAGTTTCTACTTTTCCATAGTTTAATGGGGGTTTTGGATCAAAATGTGTCAAACTAGAGGCGACATTCAAATGTTCAAAATATAAATTCCTAATTGAATGTAATTTCGTCCTAAGATGGAGTGATTATGCTAAATTCTTGAGTTTAGTTGTCGTGAGTAATATTACACAAATACTTCACGTGAATCGTTCCTTTGATTTTTTCCTTAATTCATAATGAATTTCTTAAGATTTCTAAAATATCAGATGATGTGCTCAATTGTATAATACAAAAATCTAAAAATCTAAACTTGCGAAATGAATTACGTTTTTCAAATGCCTACAAATTTTCCTTTTGACATGAACATTCATCTGAAATTTTCTGCAGGAATTCAGATAAAGCAACAGTAAATGATCTAATAGGGTTAATGTCCTAGTTTAGATGTTTATGATGTATTTCAGATGATGTAATGAATTCTAAGTAAACTGGTTTTAAATAAGCGACACTTGAATACTAATGATCAGAAAGCTTTACTTTCAATTAACTTATAATCATATATTTATTTTAGATGAACATCAAATCTTATTAACAAGTTTCTTTCCCTTCTAGGACCTACCAACTCCCAGTGAAAAAATCTAAATGTTTTAAATTATTTTTTTCGGCTAACTTATTTTTTAACAAGTAGGTTCTGTACGGGATGGAGTCACTAACCCCATGCTCATACTTCCTCCTTTATTCGGGCTTTGGACTGGCATTAACCCTAGAAGGGCTTTAGGAGCAGTTCCATCCTAAACAATAACTAATTGATTTATAAAGAATTAGCTGATATGATAGAACAAAATATTATCACGAAACGACTTGCAAACAATTTCTGAAGCGTTTCGCATGCTTTCTAAACTTATTCCATTTTACGACTACAGTTTCAGGTTTCAAATGCGTCCAGTACATGCTGCATTGACAACTAGAACTAATACCAATTAGAAAGTCTATACATTATTGTTTCTCATAGTTAGTAAATAGGAATTAAGGAAATATTTATGATCCTTCCAAGTACATTTGTTACAAAACAACTAACCTATCTGTGAGTCCATCCAACCTGCAATACTGTGAATAACCCACAGTATTCCCTCTTTGACAAAGATAAATTCTCCGGGAATCAACAATATATAATAACTGATGAGACCTTATGCCTTCTCCACGTTGTCCACTTATTTTAGGTTGTCCATGTTGCCATTCATGGCAATACTAGTTATGCAAATAAATAATATGATAACAACGAAATGAATATAGATCTTTCTTTTTCTAAAATATTTGATAGTTCATCGAAATGTCTTAATATTTCAAAACTTTTTAAAGAACAAAATTACTTCTTAACAACTTTAATTGCTTCTTCATTTAACCAGCATAAATATTATCAGTTTCAAAGTAATGAGAACTCAAGTAGACAACAACTCTGTTTTCTTGAACCATTTAAAGTATTTTCTCATCAATAAACCAAAAATTTCAAGACATACTGTACGTAATATATTCTGCTTAGTTGCTTAACAATATTGATCATAAGTAGCAGTTTCTTCAGTATTTTAAAAGACAAAACTCTAAACCAGAAAATAGATCATTTGTGCTGTTTAGTGTTATAGAATAAAACTCAGTAAAAACTGCTTTATTAATGACTATTGTATGGTAGGTAAATAATACAACTCATATTTATTATGGTAAACAGTAGACTGAGCATATTTCTCCCCATTTTCTAGGCCTTAATTTACTCAGATTTATATTGTTTCGCGGTGTAGTCCAACCCTATACATAAAAAATGATTGTTGATTATTGAATCATCTCAATAATAATTTTTTTTAGTCAGTAGCATCTCCACAGGTGTGTGTGACAAATGAAAAGGGATATCTTCGTGTATTCACTCTAAGACGTTCTCTACTTTGGTTGAGTTGAAGTAATTAAACCAATCTAAGTAAAGTGAATTCGCGCTAAGTTTCAAAAAAATCAAAAAATGAACTGAAAATAATTTATTAAAACACCATCTAATTAATAATAAAACATATTGGTATTTTCTAAGCAATCTAAATTGTTTTTAATTTTTCATTAGTTCGAAACGTCATTGTATCACTGAATGCAATTCACTTACATCTAAATACTTTTCTGGAATAACTCCATGATAACAGTCTGATACTGGTTTACATCCAACTCTACAATAATAGTATCGCGTACCATTAGGAAGTATTTTTGCGTCTTTCGAATCATTTACACAACTTCTTTAAAAAGCAAAACACATACAATACGATAAGCAATAAGTTACAGTGATTTAAAAAGTAACAGTAACATTAAAACACTTTTTAACGGTATTTAAATTGATACAACCAACACATGAATGCGTTAATTGCTCGATGTTCATTGTCGATTGAACAAAAACAGATTTTAGGCATATATATATATATATATATATATATATATATATATATATATCCTACTAAAATCTTTATATAAAATAAATGGTTTTCAAAGTATTGTATTTTTTAAATTGTTTTCGTATATAAATTAATGATAAACTATTTTCCAATTTCCCGATATAATTAATTTTAGAAATACTAGTTTCATCGCAAGACAGGTTCATGTACCCAACCGCTTGAAATGCTTCTGAAGGGCAGTAAGATTTATCTGTGAATGTTTCGTTATGGTAACTGATACACCTTCGTTTATATGTGATCATGTTTACCTTAACTTTAATTGACAGCAAAGTCTAACTTTCATATTTCTTGTAATCCGAATGAATACAAAAAATCATTTGAAATCTGATATAAGACTACCGTATATGTATGAAACAGTTTGTTAATACTATCAGTTCTAGTTACCAATGACATGTTTGGACTTAAATGTCTCAAAGAAATTTATCATTGGATGAAATAATTATAATTTTTTGGTGATATCCTAATGAATAGAGAATTGCATTTCTGACGTTTGGTCAGTTCATCTAAGTCACTTCTTCACAACACATGAATAGATAACCGAAATAAATAACACAAGTTCAAATAGTAAAAAAGAAGCCAGGCAAAATATTTTAGTACAACCAAAGTCATAATAGTTCTGAACTTGTCGATACCATATTATGTTTCAATGAATATGGTTCTGTGCGAGAGCTCACAGTGTTATTTGTGTATATGAAGGGGGTTTAGGAGAAAGAATTTGTAATTTGTAACATGAAGTAGTGGAGTTAATTGAACGATAGTAGATTTATGCATGTGTTTGTAGAATTGTGTAGATAAGGAATTAAGTATAGTTGTTTATATAAAGAGTCCAGGTCGCATGATTGGTCAAGCTTTGTTTCTTACTCAGGACAGAGAGATTTAGAATTATATGAATTGCTTCCTCGCTCTTTACGGTTGGAAAAGCCTTTCTGAATTATTTTGATATTATCAGTGCCGATTTGGTGGGTATTGTAAATACCCTGTACTGATATTGATGATTTTATTTGCAGATTTTCCAGTTCTATGGGATGATTAGGAGGTACGAAGTCAAGGACTTTCATTCAAAGTGTTAATTAGAGAAAGATAGTTTCGTTTTACTAAGCTTTCCATAATATTCACAATAAAATAATTAAGCCTTCAGGTGATAGGTATGTTACCATCTTCCTTCAGTCGATTTCATAAAGGAATGATCATAGTAGCTCTTCTCAAACGATTCACGACTAAAGAAATTTTCACACTCTGTGGATGTGTGGAGTTAAAGTCAATGAACCAACCTGAATGTGTTAGCTTTCAATACATGGTTAGATTTAAACTTTTATTAGAATTATTTCTAACTAAACAGTCTACGAAATGTCAAGCCCTTAAACATGTACTCACAGGACCTTATCAAGTGGTCGATTGAAAAGCTTTCAAATGGTTTAAAACAAGGTTTAATCAGAGACAAGTGCATTTCGAAATGAAATCAAACTTTGTATTGGCGTATCTTTATGATTTAGCTTACATCCCAACTGAACACCACATCAAGGCTTCGTGGGCTAGTAAAGATGCACAAACTTGAAATCTGTTTAGGACTCATTGTGAACTTCACAAGCACCCTTAAATATGATTTATCAAAATATCTAAGTAGTTTATATAAAAGCCACTTCAACATAACGAGAATTAGGTCATAAAAGACTCCCTGTGAACTGGGATTAAAAATCCCGGAATCATTGATCAACAAGAATGAAACAATGGTAAGCCATAGTATTGTATCATTTACATACTGTTATTCCGATCGATAGATGTCTAAAGTTTAATAATGGCTTATTAGAGGATGAAAATACTCTAATTAGCAGATGTCTAAAAACCATGAGTTAAGCATAAAATCCCTAATACTATGCCTGAATTCTAAACTCTTAACTTTCAGAGGGACTTTATAGAAACAAACGAACGAAGTGGCCATTGGATCTTCAATATCTCCGATTGTTGCTGATTTATTTATGTCTCATATCGAATTTCCAGTACGATTAGACTACTTATTTAGGTCAGATAGGCAGATGGCACATTTGTTATTATTAGAAAGACTTTACTTAGAAAATTCTCTAAATTATTAAACATTCCCTATGACAACATCAAATTTACTTGTAAAAACAAAGGTATTGAATGAAGACTAAGATAACTAATGAGCAATATTTGACTATAAACACTACATCATTGAGTATACCTTGAACACATTATTATATAAGAAAAATAAACTCCAAGAGTAGATTATTAGCAACATGTTTTAGTTACCTGAATAAATGAATTCGACTTTTAGATTTCGCTTTTACTTTTAACAATGGCTCCCACATTTTGATAGCTGGTTCGATAATTTTTGTCTATCATCATCAATAAAAAGTTAAAAACATAAATAATTTCGTTGGAATCAACAATCAATTTGTTAGCACTAAACAGACTATCTTAAACTATATAAGCAGTTTTTTGCTGAGTTTTAAACTTCTATAAAGCGAATACTAATCATAGGAAACTTACTTTTATTAGTTCAAAGTGTTCATGCCGTTTAATGTCATCTGTATAATGTAATATCACTTTGAGTCGTTTTATGAAAAATTTTCCTTTAGACATACTCTGCTGAACATTTGAATGATACTAGAAAAATGTTAATGAGAAATAATTACAAAATAACACTTGCATATTTATAATCATTTGATAATCTACACACAGAGTGACATTCCTCAAATGTATACAGAAGAAAGAAACATATATATAAAAGATTTGAAAAATTCATTCCAATGCCAAATTGTAAATCATTTTTAAATTTACTCATTTCCTTTATATACCGTTGTCACGGAGTAAACATTCTATGATAATCATAGTATTTTCACTACTTTGATTCTGGTCACAATCTATTAAAAAAAGGTGTCTTAAAAATATAATCATACTTAATTTTTATGAAAATTTAATTGGTGAATTGAGGGCTAGGCTCAGTATGAATAATGTTTTGATGTTTCATACTTCAGTTTACATTTTCACTTTTTTAACAAACTCATACAAAATCAATTGCTACAAGTAAACTGGTCTAGAGATTAGAGAAGATTTTAACAGGCTATCAGAAAATTAAACATTTGAATTGTAAACAGCCTTAACTTGTAAACATTTGTCTTAAAAATTGATATACAAAACCGCTATATCTATGCTATAGCTTGTTTACAGTTTTCACAGTTGTGAGTGCAATAAGTTACTGTAATATGTCTAAGTAAAGAATATAGAATAAAGAAGTTACAGCTTGTTAACTCATCACTGCGTGGAAGTGTGAATGTTGATATAAACGTATAATATGATTTTTCTTTTATGGTATAATTTCTATCTAAATCATGTTACCTGATTTATATTGTGTTTAACCATAGCAAAATTCTTTACACAATTCAGAAATCTAGTTAATTCTGGAATCATTAAAACCTATCTTATCAGCTCAAAAACTGTACTCACTTATTCGACTTTTTTGTTTGCCCGTACAAATTCAAAATATCTGAATAATCTAACACTTTAATAAATGTTCAGAATTTATAAACATCTAATGAAGTGAAGTGTCGTTTCTTAGTATAAATTTCAAAACAGCACTCAGTAATTCAAATCATAATCTATTACTGTCATTGACGAATAGTTGAAAAATATCGGACCACCAGTACTGACTACAATATTTAACTTGTATATATCAACTAAGTAGAAAGAAACAAGTTTAAACGTTTACTTATAGGTCAATGTACACTAATATAAGTTTATGAAAAAGAAACTTGTATCACACTTATGAACTATAAAGAGACTCAATACTAAATGAGATTTTGTACGAAACATTTGCTTTACAACATAAAAAAATAATTACTCGGAACAGATTCTTATGCTATTTAGTTATTAGTACAAAGCGAGAATAAAAAATTTAGAGAAAAACATATGTTCGGTTTTGAGTCTGCAGACTGGATCAAACTTCATAGATTTGTCAGTCTCTGCTGTAGTTACAGTCAAAAATCATACCACCAGGTATCGAACAAAGAACTTTCATTCTCTTTCCTGTCCATCTGACCTGAACCGATATCTAATGATGTACAATTTTAAACTGAATTAATCCAAGATATATCGCGGCCGTCTTCTATTGTCTTCGATAGATAACTTTCTCACACCTGACAGCGGAACTGCACTAATCATGACTTCTCTCGAGAACTCTGAAAATTACATACTGAAGCTAATCACCATTGAGCACATGATAATTTTCAGTATAAAGTTATTAAAGTTCAACAATCCCCCCGATTATTTTGCCAAGTAAGAAAAATTAAAGCTGTAGACGCTTTGTAGGATTTTTGTCAATGTTACATTTGAACACAAATCGAAATTTGAAATGTTAATTCGCTAATTCCTCTGGAGTGTAAAAATTATTGATCTTCACTTCCTTTTAGCCTGGTTGTTAGAAAGATTTTAAAATAGAGACACAAAAGACCATAATATTCATTCAAGCAATAAACATTTTCATTCTTTTTCTTGTAAGTTTTAAGGCAGCATTTCAAAACACCAGCTTACATTTGAACATTTCGATACGTCTGACAATATACGCCTTAATTTTCAGTGTTTCGATATATATATGAGGTTTACTATTAACTTGTAAATATAGTCTGAATTCGAATTTCATTAGAACAAACGGTTTATATTTACTCAGAACTGTATTGTATGAAATGGAAAAAATTGTTTCATTCAAAACAAATCACAAACTAAGTGTCTGGTGAGTAGAGTTAAATTACTGTAGTATGCTATCCAAGTTAAAACTGACACCACACTTTTTGTACGAGCATCATAATTAAAAACAGAAATCTTAAAACCAATCATGTTTCTTTCTGTGTCTAGACTGGTCTTTAAGTATTTAGCTTGTAAAAATAGTAGGTGTTTTGTTTTGTAAGTCCGTTTGGGCGTAGATGTTACGAATTATAACCGAATACATTAGTTTCATTTTTAGAAATATATCAGTGAAATGCTGTTAGAATAAACCTATATAAAATTTAAAGTTAATAGTTCAGTTTCTCCCCAAATCTTCTGTATTTTAACAAAGGACATAAACTTCGTTGAATATACATATCAACAACAAATGAATAGCTCTTTTTTTCACTGCGATATTCTTAAAATTTATTATATATACTGTTTTACTTATCGTCAAAAGTTATGAAGTACAATAAAATCTGATTATCTGAATTCAGGAAATGTGTTTACCTAAATACCGAACACCGGACCACACTACTCAAAACCAAATTGACCATATCTGTATCAACAAAAAGTTCAGAAGGACCATGGAGGATGTGAGAACCAAGAGAGGAGCTGATATAGCTTCAGATCACCACTTGCTGATCGCCAAAATGAGATTGAAGCTAAAGAAGCACTGGACAGCGGGGCAGACAACATCACAGAAGTTTAATACGGCCTTTCTTCGGGATACCGTAAAACTCAACGAATTCAAGATAGCCCTCACCAATAGGTTCCAGGCCTTTCAGGATCTACTCAATGGAGAGGAAGCAACATTGGAGAACAATTGGAAAGGGATTAAGGAGGCAATCACTTCAACATGTCAGGAGGTCCTTGGTCGCAAGAAGCACCATCACAAGGAATGGATCTCTGTTGGTACTCTTGAAAAAATTCAAGAAAGGAGGAACAAGAAGGCAGCTATCAATGTCTGCCGAACAAGAGCAGAGAAAGTTAAGGCGCAAGCCGAGTATACAGAAGCAAACAGGGAAGTGAAGAAGAGCATCAGAGCTGACAAACGAAAATATGTGGATTATCTAGCAATGACGGCGGAAAAGGCTGCAAGAGAAGGAAACTTGAGACAATTGTACGAAACTACAAAGAAGCTCGCCGGAAACTATCGTAAACCAGAACGATCAGTGAAAAGCAAGGAAGGGAAAATAATCAGCAACACTGACGAACAGCGAAATAGGTGGGTGGAGCACTTTAAGGAACTATTGAATCGACCAGCTCCACTGAACCCACCCAACATCGAAGCAGCATCCACGGACCTCCCAATTAATATTGGCGCACCTACGATTGAGGAGATCAGTATAGCCATCAGACAAATCAAGAACGGCAAAGCAGCAGGACCAGACAACATTCCAGCAGAGGCAATGAAAGCAGATGTGGAAGCAACTGCGAAAATATTTCACATTCTCTTCAAGAAGATTTGGGATGAGGAACAAGTACCATCAGATTGGAAAGAAGGATACCTCATCAAAATACCAAAGAAAGGCGATCTCAGCAAGTGTGAAAACTACAGAGGCATCACTCTTCTTTCAATACCAGGCAAAGTCTTCAACAGAGTATTGTTAAACAGAATGAAGGACTTCGTAGACGCCCAACTTCGAGATCAACAGGCTGGATTTCGTAAGGATCGATCGTGTACTGACCAAATTGCTACATTACGGATCATTGTGGAACAATCAATTGAATGGAACTCACCACTCTACATCAACTTCATCGACTACGAGAAAGCATTCGATAGCGTGGATAGGAAAACACTGTGGAGGCTTCTTCGACACTACGGTGTGCCTGAGAAAATAGTCAACATCATACGGAATTCTTATGATGGATTCAACTGCAAAATCGTACACGGAGGTCAGCTGACAGACTCTTTTGAGGTGAAGACCGGTGTCAGACAAGGTTGCTTACTCTCACCCTTTCTCTTTCTCCTGGTCATCGACTGGATTATGAAGACGTCAACATCTGGAGGGAAGCACGGTATCAACTGGACATTTAGGACGCAGCTGGACGATCTGGAGTTCGCAGATGACCTGGCTCTTCTATCGCACACTCAACAACAAATGCAAGAGAAGACGACGAGTGTAGCAGCAGCCTCTGCAGCAGTAGGTCTCAACATACATAAAGGAAAAAGCAAAATTCTCCGATGCAACACAACATGCACCAACCGAATCACGCTTGATGGAGATACCTTGGAGGACGTTAACACCTTCACATATCTTGGCAGCATCATCGACGAGAAAGGTGGATCGGACGCAGATGTGAGGGCGCGGATTGGCAAAGCAAGGGCTGCATTTCTACAGTTGAAAAATATCTGGAACTCCAAACAACTTTCAAACAAAACCAAAATCAGGATCTTCAATACAAATGTCAAGACAGTTCTACTGTATGGAGCGGAAACATGGAGAACTACCAAAGCCATCATCCAGAAGATACAAGTGTTTATTAACAGTTGTCTACGCAAAATACTTCGTATTCGTTGGCCAGACACCATCAGCAACAACGAACTGTGGGAGAGAACAAGTCAGATTCCAATGGAGGAGGAAATCAGGAAGAAGCGGTGGAAATGGATAGGACATACACTACGAAAAGCACCCAACTGCGTCACTAGACAAGCCCTCACATGGAACCCTCAAGGCAAAAGGAAAAGAGGAAGGCCAAGGAACACACTACGCCGAGAAATAGAGAAAAATATGAGAGGAATGAACAAACATTGGACAGAACTGGAGAGGGAAGCCCAGGACAGAGTTGGTTGGAGAAAACTGGTGGGCGGCCTATGCTCCATTGGGGGTAACAGGCGAAAGTAAGTAAAGTAAGTAAGTGCACAGTGAGATGAGATGGAATCCACTCTACATGATACTTCATCATTTATTATTCCATAGCAATAGTTATGGATACACATTTAATTTGGTAAACACCAAAATGCTAGGTGAAATAAAATCTAAGAAGTTTAAAGAATTCCTGAAAGTATTTCACGCTGAACGGAGAAGTTCATCAGACAGTTCCTAGTATATCTGGGTGATCAGCTGATATTGAATGGTCGTTTTATCTTACCTGGCTATCTTGCTTCATTAGCTAGAAATTAAAATATTCTATTCAGTGAAGAGAGTATATTTAAAAGAACCCTGTAAATAATTAAGCGTTTATTCAGACCTGTTCAATTTCTCATATTTACTAATGAAAGACGTTTGACTTCATTTAAAATTTATTCGAAAGTATGACTGAAATAACTGTACTTTGCAGACTACTGAACAAAGCCCGCGAACGGAGAATGTCAGGCACCCCGTCTCTGTTCCGATTGGCCGGATCACTTAGGACCGCCTGACCCATGGACAACCACTGTTCCTATGCAACCCTTCTCCACCTGAGCCTTCAAGGTTCTCATTTGAAATAATAAATCAATAGATGAAGTAGTGAAACTTCATCAGTTTAGGTTGTTAGGACATGCGTTACGTATGGTTAACCACCGACTGCTTCGACGATCTATGTTTTGTGGTGTAGGAGTAGGTTGCGTGAAGGCTAGGGGAGGCCAAACGTGGCACAAATCCATGAAGTCACTGACATGTGGACTGAGTCATGTTGGTAGATGTAGGCTACCTGGTTGGGGTCCACGAGACGAAAGTCACCGACGGTTAGAGACCTTGAACGACATGGCTCAGAATCGTTTGCAATGGCGCAGGTGCATCCACTCTCTGTGTTCTGTGAAATTCTAACCTTCTGAATTACTCATAATCTCTACCTTTCTCCTTCTAAATTTATCTTACTGAATTATACTTCTCGAATCATATCTTCGCTCCCTAATCTTCTCCATTACTGCTAATACTTCTATTAAAGCTATCACTGTTGGATTTGAACTGACAGTTGCGTCTCTGTGCTGATGTGGTATGACAACCTGAACTGATGTACTTATGTACGAAGTTCTGCGTTGTATCTGTCTATCTGTCTTTCAGACTGAGATAACAGCCTGCATTGATCAAAGATTATTTATTCTTTATTCATCGAGAAATCTCTTCATATTAAAAACACTTTATGCAGTTCTTATCATTGTAGTGAACAACGGAACTCTTAACTAATGATCATATATCAAACAAACAAATGGATGATTGGCAATAAAATAAGCAATTATGTGTATATATTCTAAACTTCAGCCTATGGAATACATTGTTGTTGCAGAAATCACTTCAACACACTTTTTATTAACCTTGAAAACAGTAGTTTATCGAAAGAAATCGACTTTCAACTTTTCAGTTTTTGTGATATCTGTGTTGAGATTTGATTTACCGTGTAGAACAAAATGATGAAAGAAGTCATGAATAAAAGTATTTTTGATAATGGCTGACATATTCACACAATTGTCCAGCTAGGTAGATTAAAGTGTGGATAAAGTTTTTGGTTTTTCATACCATCTGTGAAAAACATCTTGAATTCTATTAATTAGCAAGGCATTTACCATTCTAACCTAAACAAAATGATTTATCTGAAATGTTCATCATGCCTAGGTGAAATGGCATGGTCCAGAGAAAAATCGATCTAAAAGTTGCTATTCATGAAAAAATCAAATGAATTAGGAAACCATTAAACGCCATGAATCATTTATCAAAAATTTGAAGTTAAGTCATGAATCCATTTGCCATCATACAAAAATCATAGTTTTAACGAGGCTTAGATTCATAGCAAGGCCAGGGGTATGCATGATATTTTTGAAAATTACTTAATTTTCCTTTGACCTCACAGTGTAACTACTTATTCCATGCTGAACATTTTGGAGGTAAAAGGAGCCCTTATAAAGAAGTATTAAGTAGCTATTCTATATTTCTCAACCAACATACTCTAATATTTTCTTATGGTGCAGTTTCGTTCTCCAAGCTGGATGATTTGGTTTCTGGAGCTTCCGTTATTCTTCTGAACAACATGAGCTCAACTTCTGATAGAAGTGAAGTATTCGGATTTCTTCACATGTGACTCATGGCTTGATATCCATCTCGATTGGTTGTTATTGTCCTTTAACTTGTCATTGTCTGCATCTTTATACTGATGGTATCCAGCTTTCGATCTGTTTCTTGATCCAATGTTTGTCCATGATTTTTCTGATTGGTTGATGAATTGGATCAATATCAATGTGTTTTTTGATTGGCTTGAGTTCCAGGCTTTTAAACACTGTCTAGTGTTCTTCGTACTCTATCTATCCAGTATTTTAACATTTTTCCAGTCGAATGCGTGGTCACAGTTATCCACATATAGTTACCGCCGTTCCAGCCTAATAACTTTATAGAAGAATTAAAAAAAGATTTATAAAAATTGAAACTTTCACTATCTGTAAAATTTTACTTTTGAGCTTTCAGACATATCACTTATCCCCATAGTTTTCATTATCATGATTAAATCAGAAAAAAAATTATTTTGACTTTTGGTAAACATACCTGAACAGATGTGGGTCTCAACTAGTCGACATAACATGATAAAGTTTATCTTCTTGTTAAAAACTTAAATGTATTGATAAGATTAAGTTTTTTTGTTGGAGAAACTGTAACATACATATAGAGGAAAGCACCTATTTGCGTCACAAAACATGCACTCACTTGCAATCCTCAAGGCTAAAGGAGAAGAGGAAGGCCAAGGAACGCATTACGCCGAGAAATGGAGACATATGCGAAGAATGAGTAACAATGGGACAGAACTAGAAAGGCAGGCTGAGGACAGCGTTGGTTGGAGAATGCTGGCCGGCGGCCTACGCTATATTAAATGCAACAGGTGTAGTAAGGTTTCGAATTTTTACCAGTACACTGACACTGAACTACTTTTAATACTTTTAAAGAAAACTATCTCTAAGGAGAGATATTTTTACACAAATTTCCAATAATAAGGCAAAAGTTTCACTGTATATGTGATTAATTGACTGGGTAGTTCTGTACGTGTTAAAATAAATAAATGAAAGTTTCACTATTAGTTTACTCAACTGTATGGAAAAAAGAGCTGTTAATCGGAAATATTTTTTTTCTTCCTAATTCCATTAATCTCTCTCAAGAAAGGAACTTGGATACATTCAGTTTCATTGAAACTAGCAGTAATGCTGAAGGCTAGTTTATATTTCGAATGAAAGAAAGTTATCTAAACTGTTGGTGATTGAAAGGTGAAGTACATATATCAATAAACGCTCTTACTATCTGTATTTGAATGACTGAGTATAAAAGCATTTTCTCATGTTTACTTTTAAGGTGTTTCGCACAAGATTATTTAGTTATAAATAATATACTACTTTCATTTTTGCAGTAGTTCAAAAGAAAGAGAAACTTCCATCAGGTGAAATGTGATCAACAAACTTATAAGCTCATACAAGTAATGGATGATACAAAACGTACTGTGTGTAATTCTGAGCGTGTTCGATCCATAGTTATAGGCGGGTGAAATTCATATGACTGTGCATGATGAGAGTTTATTTTTGTTAATATGAATGTGAATGTTAATCATGAATCTTTATACATACTATAAGTGGTCGAAAAAGGCAGTAGTGTTAAAACTGAGGGACTAAGAGTAAAGCTTACAGTAGAAAATTGAAAAAGCGAACTTTTGGAATGATCTTCTTGTTTATCGCGATGGACAAACAGACTGAATACATATTGTTATGTATATAAAGTGGGTTTTAATTTATTTAATTCCTACAATAATTGGTTAGGAATTCAAGACGAAACTGAAGATTTTTCGTCTATCTAATCC